ATGAGTACCTACCTTTTGCCAGGAGGCTGTTTGAGTACTGTTGTTAATGAGTACCTACCTTTTGCCAGGAGGCTGTTTGAGCAATAGGGCTACTCTATCCCTGTGTTTTGTTATGGTATCTGACAATTGTTTGATGGTGTCTGCAGCAGATGCTACAAAATTCCACATTTCTCTGAAAAAGGAAACAGGCTAGTTAAAGTTTCAATAAAATGAAGAAATACAATTGTACGCAACTGTTTTGAGCTCTGTGTGAGGTTTACCATTACTCAGAGCTGATAAAGAAGACCATCATATGTATCTGAGGTTGAACATTATTCTGAGATGCTGAGGAACTTAGAGCTATATGTGAGGTATGGCATTACTAAGAAGACATTTAAGCTATATGTTATGGTCAACAGTACTCTGAAGTGCTGCTGTATCTTACTTGTCATGCTGTAGGTCAGCCGCCCCACTCTCCACCAGATTTCCGGCCGGTTTAAGGTACACCCACAACATGTACTTGACAAAGGGCTGTTTGAGGTTACCATCGATGTCCCGGTGGTTCAGTACCCACAGGATCTCCTCCACTGGCATGATGGTCTGACACAGGGACTCAATAAATTTGTTCTCTCCCTAGGGATGACGGCAGAAACAAAGTTATAAATATTGTCAAACATAGAGCAGAACTAATCATACCTGGACCCCAAACAACCCTTACCCTGAACCTTGACCTTAACACTCTTAACCTCTAAATCATATTAACACTCTGATCTTTGACCCAAAAACCAACTTTATTCTAGCATTTAACCCTAAATCAACTAAATCCTGACCTTTGACACCAAAACAACTTAACCCTAACACTTGACCCCACTTCTTTAACCCCTGACCCTTACCTCAGCACAAGTTGAAAGCAGGTCCACCAGACAAATGAAGTAGGCAAGATGGCCTGGGTCTCGCTTGTTTGTTAAAATCTGCTCCCTACAAAAACAAAACGGCAGATGTTCAATTGTAAATCTTTGGACTGAAACAAAACAGTTGGAATCAGTTTGAAAAATAACTAGCAGTGGGCAGAGCATCCCAAATATGTTAAATTCAACATAGATCTTTTTTTTCCCTAATGAAATCTAATCTTGGTCCTAGTGCCCACCTGCTGTCTCGTGGTTGGTCAAGAACGTAGGCAGCCTTGCGGAAATTCTGCATGATGTACTTCATTACTAGAGCCTGATTACGTTTGATGGTCAGGTCAAGTCCTTCCACTTTGACAAGCACTTTGAGGAGTTCGAGGAACTCTGGAGCCTCACTCTGGTACTGTGCCGCCAGCAGCACAATCTTCTGGATCTGTTTGGAGTGAACCTTCAGGCATGTGGTCTGGTTAGCAATGAACAGCTACAAGATACAAAACAAGTGTAAGCAAAACTATGCAATGTTTTGGGTCAATAAGGGGTCAGATGGAGTTGTGTGTATCAGTTTCTGGTGTGGACAAAAGGAATCAGAGTATGTAAGCTTAAAGTGCTGGAGTACAAAAAGCCAGAACTCTGCCAAATATTAATTACACAATAATCAGTATGATGCTACAATGATTATATACTTCTGAAGAAATCTCTTGGCACTTCTGTGAACGTGTCTTACCTCTTTGAGAGCCAGTGCGAGACAGGAAGGGACAATCTGGACCTCCAGTAGAGTGTCTAGGTGATTAAACATGGCCTCCTGCATAGCACTGTTCTCCCTCGTGATCAGTGCTAACAGGTCAAGTGTCTTCTTAAAGATCGTCTTCATCCCCTTGTATTGTTGGTCCTGTAAACACCAACAGACACCAAATTACTACATCATTAGATTTCACTGCATTTGCAGGTACAGACGGAACTTAAAAACTTGGAACTCATTCAAAGCAAAACTAAAAGACCTCTGGATTGAGATGTGTAGGTATGCCGGCCAATGTTAACGGGAAAATAGTGTTGACCTTAAAATCAACAAGAGAAAGGTAGTGTTGCCCTATTTGGAATTGATCTACACATTTTAACTGTTTTCTTAAAATCAGCTAGTGATAAAAAATACAGGTTTTACTCTTTATAGAAACTTTTGGTATCCTTTGACTACAGTACTTCAGTTGACTTACCACAAGTTTGGCATCGATCTCTTGAGACAATATATCCAAAATGGCGGGTAACACTCCTGTGGAAACAAAACAGGTAGATTGATAGAAAAAAACACTAATATTTTCTAAAACTTAATTAATTGATGCTTCTTTCAAATAGAATGATAAAGATTGACTACTATAAAATGTCCTTCCTTTGGTGAGGGAGAGGTCATCAGAG